ATGATTTGTCGGACCACATCTTCAAACTCTGAAACTGAATTCTCACTTGAGACCAAGCATTTTTCACAACACTATGGACTGTTACTTTCCTCTAGCAAAGAGTTCAACCTTATCATAAAGCATGAATGATGATTAATTAGTCTGCTAATGGAAGTAGCCTGAAACATCTCTGGAAGTGTGATAAGCTATGAGGTGTAAACAGTAGAAAACAGCTGAGTGGAGGTGGGAAGTGCAAACTGTATCAATCACTGTTGACAACCAAGACAGATTTAAGGATCATCAGCAGCAAAAGAGAAATTGCTGTTTCACTTCTAAATATCCCCAAGGTAGTTGGTTATATCAGCACATTTGAAAAGTTTTCTGTTAAGTCAGAAATATTTCCTTTGATTAATTTATCCTTATAATGAATAGAATCAAGGGCATATTATTACTTCTGTCTGTAGCCATGGAGAATGGAGACTAATTGAAGATATTTAAAAGAAAATTGGATTAAGACTTCAAAGTCAGAAAATAACTTATTAAGCAAACTCCTTTATCTCAGTAATGCCACAATAAGCATACTCAACACATAAGAGAGCCCAAAGTACCAGAATCCATCACTGATAGCGTCTAGATCGCTTTATTCTGCATCCCAACAAATCAGGAGTGGGTTTCAGTATTTATTTTTGCAAAGCATGGTGAAACCATCAGTTTTTGTTTTTTTTGTTTTATTGAAATGATTTTCAATATTGTATGTAAAAACTAGATAGAAGGAGCTTGAAATATGAACAACTGTCTTTATGTAAGGAAGGAGAATGCTGCAGAATATGCAGTGTTGGGCACGTTACTTTGAAAAAGTAACTAGTTATAGTTACTAATTACTTCTCCCAAAAAGTAACTGAGTTACTAACTGAGTTACTCGACAATAAAAGTAACTAGTTACTAGTAAAAGTAACTATTGCGTTACTTTTGCGTTTCTCGCCCCCGTAAACCTCACCAGCCAGCCCCCACCTTCTCGCCGTGTGTTTCCAAAGCCAGCTGAATAGAGCGGACGACAAAGACAAGAACCTGCAGACAGTTTAGCATTTATTGCAACTCAACGTAAATGACATCAGGGGGGAACGCGATGTAAAGTTTTATAAAAGGACATTCAGATCCGGTGAGTATATGAAATTAATAAATGGGGATGTCTAATTCTGAAATCCTGTGTGTTTGGGTTGTTATAGATACTGCAACATCTATCTATCTATCCATCTATCTATCTAGATCTATACTCTGTGTGTGACATAAAATATGGATCTCCATCCCTGCCACAAAGGCCATCAAATAATGTTTAAAATAAAAAATACAGTAGGTTGAGAAGGCAGAGTATCCATCCATCCATCCATCCATCCATCCATCCATCCAGATTTCTCCCTTTCTCCATATAGGCTATCATTTCTGGATGTTGTCAGGTTCATTTGATCGTTCACGCTCTCCATAGTTCTCCTGTGGCGCGAGCACAGGGCGACTGTTGCGCGCCTTTAGCGAGCATGCGCGTTTCCTGTCGCTTGCGCAGTGACTCTTGCCGCCTGCGCTGTGTGGAGATGCAGAGGAAACCGTTATGTGATGGGGAAACGCAGCTCTACGTAACACCGGTATTTCCATGTGGAAAACGCTGTTTTGCTGCTGGATTCATCCTCACTCTCCATCTCTCTGTGTGTGCTGTACGTTAACACCCGCCAGCAGAAACACCCACCTACCCAACTGACAGACGGAATCTCACTATTCATCAGCCATTCTCATCCTCCCCTCTCTCATGACAAGGCGCGCACCTCTTGATGACCTAAAAAATAATCTTTAATATCTCTTAAACAAAAGTAGCACAAACAATATTTTTTTCTGCACAAATCTGCACTAACGTTGCACTAACCATTCAGTCTATTTGCAGAGTTTTTTGACGTGGGTGGTGTGTCAGCTTCACGCAGCTGCGCACGAGTCCTATCATGAAAAAAGGTTCATTGTGCGACCTGAGTAACGCGCAGTAACGGGGTGTCTGCAATGGTAACTGCGTTATAGTTACAGTCAAAGTAATTAGTTAGATTACTCGTTACTAAAACAAGGTAACGGCATTAGTAACGCCGTTATTTTCAACGCCGTTAGTCCCATCACTGAGAATATGCAATAAATTTACAAGTGAATCACTTGTAAAATGTTACATTGTTTACATCACTTGAAGTGATGTAAACATTGTAACATCTGATTCCTTAGTTTTTTTTTTGTTTTTTTTTTCAGAAAATGTAAATTACTTTAACCTAATTTTTAAGCTCAGTTATATAAGGCATAAAAAAAAAGTTGAACTTAAAATTGATCCACAAACACATTAGGATTCTCTATTTTGTCGAGGCTAATAACTTGTCATTGTTATTGTTTTAGTTAATGTTAATATTACTGCTCTGAGGGCTCAGTTTGGCTTAGTGGGTTAAAATGATCTGTACCGGTGCTTACTGTAATATGGGTTATTTTCACTCTTGTGCATTAACTGAGCAAAAACAAACTGAAATCATCTTTCACCAGCACCATTAAACACTACCCTATTTGGGAGGTAATGATGCAAATCGTTTTCGGGGGCACTTCAAATAATTATATAACGCTAGAAAAAAGATGCAGCATTACTATTACAAAATGTTTTTTTCTTTTACTCATTTTAGTGATTATGGATGCATTAGGATTCAACAGAATGAAGAATGTGTTCAGATGCCTTGGTGCAAACAGCCAACAACAGACACTATTTGGTGGAAGTAAAAAAAAAAAAAAAAAAACATGTTCAGGTGTTTTAAATTAGGTAAATGTATTCTTAAATGGTCATTACTCAGACATGTATTACATTCACCTGTTAAATATCAGAATTTAAATATCCTTTTATCTTTTTTCCCCCAGGTTCTTGAATGTTACATCCACAAACTAGTATCGATTTTATTGTAATGGTTTTCAGAATCTATTAAAAATGTTAAAATTCTAAAAAGTGCTGTATATCTATAAATATAGATGAAAATAATTTTATTCGCTGTAGGATCTACTGATTTGGTTGATTTTATGTGAATGCGTCATGGGAAACAGACTGTAAGAGGTCACATTCTATAAATACTATAATTAGGCTTTTTCTTTTTTTTGTTAAATACCAATTAATGAAAAAGCCATTTTCTGATTGCTTCATAAATAGATTATAAAATAATAGACAACCGACGTTGATTTAGCCTGTTATCCCCAGATTTAATCCAAAGCAACAGATTGCATTCAGAAATCATGTAATCAGTAAATAGAGTCCATCTTTTGTGATATTTATTATTTGATGTTTGTGAGAGAATGTATGTCTAACCCAGGCATCCCCAAAGTTGGTCCTCGAGGGCCGCTGTCCTGCAGGATTTAGAGGTTTCTCTGCTTTAGCACAGCTGATTCTGATGATTGCAGTTCAGCAAAAGCCTGTTAATCAACTATCAATTTAAATCAGTTGTACTGAGGCAGGGAAACCCCTAAAACCTGCAGGACAGCGGCAATCGAGGACCGACTTTGGGGATGTCTGGTCTAACCAGAATCATAAAGACAACAGATAAAGTTTGAATTAAATTACTCAATGTTGAAAGTATTGGAGAGCACTACCACACCCATTAACCCAAATATGAGAAAACGGCTAAGCTATGATAGGGGGTTTAACCTAAAATGACGTTTTTTTAAAGGAGAGCAATCATTCAGAGAAGTAGCATTTAGGTCCATGGTAGTTCTAACCCACTACTAAAATTAGACCATTTAATGACAGGAAAACTGTTAGTTGTTCAATCGGCAAATCTGGGCTTTCATGCAAGAGTGGTAAGCATAAAGACATACGAATCATTAAATGCAACAAACAACTTGTCAGAATTCACAAGCAAATGAACACAGTTTAAACTAGAATAATTCTAGAATAAATTCTTAAAAAAACAAACAAACATGATCATTGTGAAAATCACCTTCTAGCAGGACAATACCTCTAAAAGACTGGAGCTATAAAGGACCAGCAAATGGTTTCATCTAACCTAGTCTAAATCCACAACTCATTCCAATCAAGTTTGGGCATGATTTTAAAATTGACATTTGATAATCATTAATGGCCAATAAATTTTAGCTCCTCTACAAAGAGTTATGGGTAAAAGTTGTCATCCCCAAATTCAAAAGCAGTGTAGATCAGAATCCTTTAATATAACAATTGGACATGTTTTCTTGATCTGTTAAAAAATGTCTATAACATGTATTAAAGTATGCTTCAAAATATTTGAAAGACATCAAGCAATACACATCGTTTTAGTTTGAAATTACTGAAGCTTCCATATGACTCTGATTTAGAAGAAGTGGTATATGACTCAGTTTTATCGAAGCTCTATCCATCATGAAAATGTTTATATTCGTTATTCATAGCCAGACTTGTCGTACCTTTGATCCCACACCTGTGCTTGTTCAGCCCCAAAGCAGCTCTTTGTGAATATTTATTGAAATATTTATGCAAAACTCCAACCTACCAAACAAGGCATAAACAAAGCCACAAAGTATTTTTGCATCATGTTTCAAACAAAGTCAGTGCTTCTCAGCCTCCGGAGTGAATGGCCACTTCAGTCGCTCTGATCACAGCTGACTTCACTCCATTGAATTAACACACAGTTTTCTTGGCTACAGGCTCAGGGGCCATGTTGGAGCCTCACTGGTGAATATTAGATTGCACGCCTCCAGATCTCATTAAAGGAAGCAACAGGACAATGTCTGCATCCCAAATGAGAACAGAGGCCATCCAGCATCCTGACTCCCTGTTGGATCTACCGATTTGATTGATTTTATGTGAATGCGTCATGGGAAACAGACTGTAAGAGGTCACGTTCTGTAAATACCATAATTAGGCTTTTCATTTTTTTTGTTTCATACCGAATAATGAAAAAGGCATTTTCTGATTTCTTCATAAATAGATTATAAAATAATACACAATTGATTTGATTGTTATCAAAGAGCAAACTTACAGGATCTTGAAGCTGATCCGTTTCTTACCGTCTTCCCTTACCAGATGAATGCACACTGAAAAACAAACATGAGTCATTATCAGAAACGTGCAAAAAGAACTTACAAGAGAAAAAACAAGCAGCTATGAGAAAAAAAAAGCCTAAAAAGAAAGTGAGCATCAAGACACATGCGATTGAGGAAACGTTTTATGAAAGTGTGTCAAATGATTCCTCGCAGACATGACAGCTTTATGGAAAATCAAATTAGTGGATCATTGTGGGTTTGTCCAGCATTAGCCACACACAATTAATGAGAGTTTTAAATAAAATCAACTTGAGCCTAAGGCAAGGCTCTTTAACAGTAGTTAACTAGTACTAACTACGTATTAAGCATCTCAGTGTCTGTAAAAATGCAGGCTGTCTAACATTAAAAAAAATTTTGTTCTGAAAGATATTTTTTATACTATTTTGTTTCATTTTTGTATCTCTTGTAGTTCCAGGCTGCATAAGGGGAATAAAACAATACATTTCTGCTTTAGATGAGCCAAACAAAGAGTAAAACCCTTTTTGAAAACTTCACTGGATATGTCTAATTTCTAATAATAAAAAAAATATGTTTTTACAGCTTTTAGGTTAAAGTAATTGTAACCTTTTATTATATTTTTTTCTATATTCATACTCCAAGCAAAAGGTTAAACATTAGTTTTCAAAATGAAACGCAAAAAAAGTAAAATGGCAGGAATACCTTCGTATTTCTAAGATTAACTTTAAAGCAGCATAATAAAAACTCACCCACTCTGGATAGCTCACCATGTCATTAAAAGGCTACACAGAAACAAACAACCACTTGCAAAATCAAACTAAAGGCCAACTTCAACCTTGTATAGAGAGCCCATGCAAAATTAAAAGCACAAATCGACTCTAACCAAAGCTCAGAATTAACTATGTTTACATTATTTTGATATTAGATTAAAAGTAATATGCATTCAACCAAGAAGTGCAGTTATTCAAGAAAATTATACTGAAATGGAATAAAAAAACTTAAACAATTTATGTATTTCCTGAAAATCTATGTTTTGAATGAAATTCTACGGCTAAAATGACTTAAAAGCTTTAAATACTGAAAAGATTTTTGTAAACATTCACTTTTAGTTTCAGCTCTAAATCTTTTGTAATGAGCCTCCAAACTCCAATGAAGCACGCATTTTTGGGAGGCTGTTTAAAAAGCATGCATGCAGTAACAGTGGACAGAAAAAACACCCTTTTAACAGAAAAAATCTGCAGCAGAACCAGGCTCAGTGTGACAGACCTTTTGCCTAGACTGACTGACTGTTCCAGAAGACTGAAGAAGAGACACCAAAACAATGTTAAATCTTTCAATGTTAGAGAGGGTAACAGCAATCTAGCTTTATAGTCTATGTGGCTCTCTGTGAAAGAAACAGTTACGCAGATGAGCTCTGATGTGGTTTTTATTTTTAAATGGATGACATACAAGTGCCTTCACAGTTCTACATCTATAAAAGATTTCCGTGAATTTATTATGAGATCTAATTTATGATTATAGACAGTTACTTTCCACCTTCAGAAAATAAATAACATGACCACATCTTTAGCAGCCTTTGCATTTTTAAATATGTTTTTGGAACATGTTTTATACAGCCTGAGCTCAGCTAATCACTTAAAGTTACTTAGAATATTCACTTTGAATGAAACATTAAGAAAACATCTAAGGACGTTTTCCCAATCCTGCAATTCTTATATTCAGAGGTAAGGGATAAAGAGAGTGTTTTGGTGGAAGAAACAAAAAAACTAAAATGAGAAGGGGGAAATTTATGTGAAACTTGTAAGCACTTGAAGCTAAAACATGTTTTTGGATAGATTGTCCTCCCACAATTTTTACACGTACATGAAAAGTTCCCCAATGATTTCCAGCATTATTTGTTACAGAAACTCTCAGATGGAGAAGTGAGAGAGACCGAAGACAGCAGCAGTGCTGTACATCGATTGGTAAAAGGCAGAAAATCAGTACCAGAATGGGCCCACTATCTTCCAAAAGATGAAGCCGTGAAAGATATAAACAGGCACTAATTAGTAGCTGATATTTACCAGTAGACAGCAGGAGGGCTTTCAAAGCCAACTCTGTGCTTTTACTGAAAAGGTGTTTCATGAATTTGTAACAGTCAAGTGGGCCTGAAAAACAAATAAATCTTTGTCTACCTCCAGGAATGCATGCTCTTAAAATAGATCTCAAGTGCCTTGGGATGCAAGTCAGACTTCAAGCAGTCATTGACACCCAGTAAGACAGGGAACAACCTCAAGACATGTCTGTTGTCCTGGAAAAGCGGTAAAGAACAGACTCTAAACGACGAGTGATAGTCGCTGAGCATTCTGTCGATGTATATTATACTTTGAAAAACCTAACTGAAACTCAAACATTAGAAATGACAGAGGCAGCTATTAAGGCAAAAAGTTAATTTTGCTTCCAAGCATCCAACAGCAGTGGATCAACACTCTTAGAGGCCTTTCTCTAGACTCCTACCATTCAGTTCCATTTGTGACTGTTTAAAAAAAAAACTGAGCAAGCTAAGAAGGAAGGATTAATGTAAATGTAATATATAACAGAAGTTTTATTGGCTTCTTTAGAAAACTCTTTTTCAATGACAGCACCGAATGTGACTATACTTTGTTACATTTGCAAGGCGATTAAATCTGAATATGTCCTATAATTAGGCTTTATTGGCGAGGATTTCAGTCTATAATCAAATATGAGTGGAAATAAAAAGGACATGGTTATGTTTTAAAGTGCCTTGAGATTACTTATTCTGGCACAAAAACAGAAATAAAAAAGGGAGTTGAATTACTGAAGTTGGTTTTATTTAAAAGCACAAAGCTATTGCATTTACCATATACACCGTTTGTTTGTCCGCAAATGCATTTCAAAAGGACAGTTACCTTTAGAGCTGCATGTAAATAAAACTTAAATTATTCAATGTCAATCTTTGCAATGTTTTCATGCTCGGCGAGATATCTTTTTCCAAGTGGATAGTCTCTGAATGCACAATTGTTATAAAACATACACATTTAATAGCTGTGATACTAAAACTCAATCTGACGCAGTGATCTTTAAAAAAACAAACTATAATAAACTACATATAGGTTATATACTTAACCTATATGTAGTTTATTATAGTTTGTTTTTTAACAAAAAAAGTTTACCTTGAAGACACATTAAATGAAACATGCAGTTAATACTTTCAACAACCCCCCTTAACCGTGATCGATTACTGAAATAATCAACTAATTTAGAAATGTATCTTTACTTTGAGTTGAGACTCTAAAACATAACACTGTACTGAGCTCAAAACAGAAAATACCAAATTTGTAAAACATCTGTAAACGTATTGCATTTAAGACAAAAAAACTTTTTTGCAATCAATATGCTTTATTCCAGAAGTCCTCAAGTGACGTAGTTTTACGTTCACCTGGTATAAATAAATAATTTTTTGCACCACAGTTTAGACTGGTAGCTTCTTCTGTATTTAACAATAGAGATTCATATTTGTTTTCCCATTTTGAATTGTGCTTAAAAAAGAAAACAATTTAAAATCCAAAAATATGGTCATCTCTGATTACATATTTAACCCTTTACCCCCACATTTACATAGCTTGTGCACAAAAGTATTGCATACCAAAAATCAGGGATGTATCTCATTTGAAAGCTAAGACCTTCTAGTTCCTGGAGATTTGTGTACACACTTGGTAGGTTTGATACAAACCAGAGCTTTGTGACTTCAAACGTGTCCAAAAAAACATTTTTCCCCTTGAATAAAAGAATGCTATTTTTATTATGTTATATCTTTTTTTTATATAATTCATAGTAGACTACTCCCACTTACTGCACTTCTTCATGTTTTTGACATCAACTGTGTAATATTTCAGATCTCTAGTCATAAGCATTGTGAAACTATGATGCTTTCTGTATGTAAAAGGTCCATTTGGTACAATTGTGCCAAATTTGGACCAAATGTTGCAAACTGGATTATTTGAATTTTATGAATAAACTGACCATACAAAAAAAAAATATTTCTATGTTTAGATTTAGGAAATATCTACAGTGATTACTGAGAAGTCAGGAGTTACAAAACAAATCCAAAAAAGCACAACAAGAATGTATAATACAGACTGGATAAACAACTATAATTTAAACCTCAAATATAGTTAGTGCAATAAGATAGTCATCCTTCAGATTTGAAAACCAGAATGAAAATCCCGAAGGTGCGTTTAGACCAAGAGCAATGTTCACTGTGATTTCACCATTCTTCATTTCAGATGCAAAATAATTAAACCCTGGACCGCATCATCACATTGGAGGAGCTTCAGCTGTGTGAAGCCGATACCTCACTGACATGAAACACACAGCAAATATACTGAATGGTTATTGCTTCTTTAGTGCCAGTTCGTGCATTTAGAATGGTAAAAAAAAATTTGAGAAATAACAAATAAAGATCACATGTGCTGCTGTTTTTTCAGAAATATTAAAGATGACTCTTTAGGCCGTCCATAGGTCAACCAACCCCCCCTCCACCCCCCATCAAGCCTTAAATTGAACCAAAAGTATCTACGTTTTCAGTGCTACTTGATCCTTGCAGGTTAAACTGTTGTTTGTGCTGATTTGGTTTTTAACATTAAAGAACCAAATCTCATAGGGAGACCAAAGCTGCATAGGGCAGACAGAAAAAAAAGCACTACCCAGATATACAGGTGCTGGTCATAAAATTAGAATATCATGAAAAAGTAGATTGATTTCAGTAATTCCATTTAAAAAGTGAAACTTGTATATTATATTCATACATTACATACAAACTCATATATTTCAGATGTTTATTTTGTTTAATTTTGATGATTACAAATGACAACAAATGAAAATCTCAAATTCATCATATCAGAAAATTAGAATATTGTGAAAAGGTTCAAAATTGATGGCCCCTGGTGCCACACTCTAATCAGCTAATTAACTCAAACCACCTGCAAAAGCCTTTAAATGGTCTTTCAGTCTAGTTCTATAGGCTACACAAT